TTTTTTATTTTTATGGGATAAAATTTATTAAAATTTTTTACTTGCCCTAAATCTGTTTCTTTTTATTTTCCAAAAACTTTTTTATGAATTTTTTATGAATTTTTTAATTTTCGGAATTTTGCAAATTTTTATGGGTTTTCTGAGTTTTTCTTATTTTTATGGATTTTCTGAGAATTTTTCTGATTTTTATGAATTTTTGGAATTTTTTAATTTTCTAATTTTTTTAGGGATTTTTCTGAAATATTTCTAATTTTTATGAATTTTCGGAATTTTTTAACTTATTCTAAGGCATTTTGTGAATTTTTTATTTTTGATTTTTTTTGGGGAAAATTTTATTAAAATTTTGTTACTTTCCCAAAATCTGTCTCTTTTTATTTTCCATAAACTTTTTTATGAATTTTTTAAATTTTTTTAGTTTCAGAATTTTGCAAATTTTTATGGGTTTTCTGAGTTTTCCTGATTTTTATGGATTTTCTGAGAATTTTTCTGATTTTTATGAATTTTTGGAATTTTGGGAATTTTTAAATTTTTTTTATGAATTTTTTAAAATTATTCCAGCCGGGAATGGACCGGACCGGTGCTTTGAGACGGTCTACAAATGACGGAGGATGGAGGAGGAGCTGAGGCCACGGCTTGAGGATCGGACCTTTCTATTTCTTTTTTTATTTCTGGGAACAAAGAAGTAGAAAAAATATACTTCTTATTTCTGTTCCAAATCTATTTCTTGGTCATTTTTCTATTCCAGGAAATAGAAAAATAAAATGCGTTACCAAACAGATTTTTGTTCTTTTTTTGTTCCAAGGAACAGAAGAACAGAAAAATAGAGAAGTTGAAACATTACCAAATGCGCCCTTACTTTTCCTCGTTCCCCAAAAAAAAATATAACTATTTTTTTTAAAAATGACATTAATTAATTCACTATTCTTTGCAAAGAATCCTCTGAAATGTTGACTATGAAACATTCATAACGATGGAAACGATTGAATCTTCTATTGCCAATACTTACCAGTTACCTATATGCTCAGGGAAAGTATAAAACTGAATTGCCCATACGTTCTTTTTGGGTTATAAAGACAATGATATGCGCAATTTTCTTTTTGGGATTGAATAATTGTCTCCATTTCATGGGAAATTGAATAAACATGGTGAATCCACTCGAATTTGTTTGCGCCAATTTCGAGATTTTGAGCCAACTGGACTGTTTTCTCTATAAATGATTTTTGGCACCCTTTTCTTTTCTTGTCTATTTAATTAATGTTGCACCAACTCAATCAATTTTTGTTAAAAACTATAATTGAAAGCTTAAACACTTTAAGTGTGCCCAGACTACATGTATAGAGGACTCATTAAAGTAATGTATTCAAGTCGTGAGATAAAACTCAAACGTCCATGCGCGTTAAATTGGTGAACAAAAGAGTCACGGGCATAGAATAAACTCATGGTATGAAGCATGCAGAACTAACTCCAATAACGTCCCATCCAAATGTTTAAGTTATCCGTTTAGGAAATTAAATGCATTTCTAGCGCAATACTGTGAATTCTTTTGGAGAATGAATGGATATACAGTCGACTGTTTACTATCTCGACGCAATTAATTTAGGTTTTGGCAGGGGACGTGCAGGAACAGAGGTGGCCCCAATATTCGAAATCAAATATATATGAGTTCTAAATCCACCGTTCCTCTAAGCATAGCAATTAATTTAATTTCTGGCACTGGACATATAGGAATAGTGGTGGGGCCAATATTCGAAATCCAAATATGTAGATATGACTTGTAAATCCACCCTCCTCCTTATTCACACATCATTTGAAATATAGTTTTCTCGATCTTCTCGAAATTTGGTGAGAAAGGCAACCCCACCACCAACTCCTCGCCAAGTTTGAAATTAGACAAAGGGTTTTGGCTTTTCTCTATACACGGAAAGCTAGCGGCGAATATCTATATATTGCATAAAAACGAATAATTGGCATTGAGTTTTATATGGTAATTGGACCATGGACATCATTTAGATATCATCATGGTGAATTTCTATATATTGCACCAAATTAAATGAGCAAATATGTCCAATATTCAAACCGGGGGTTGGAAAGGCGGTGGTTTATCCTGTGGTGGATGTTAGCAATGGGATGATTAAGGAATCGTCCATTTTAGAGATAACGGGCTGATCTTCCCCAAAATTTCACATTGAGGGGAAGATTTGGCACCCGGATGAAAGTGCAAGACACACATTATCATCATCGCGTGACTACCAAAATGCCCTCCTATGATGAATGAGATGATCATTTAAGGGAGGGCATGACGGGTAGCGGAGAGTTTCAATGGACCACACGGAATTAATCATAATAAAGGGGATGATGAATGATCATATTCCCTGGATCCAAGAGTAATAAAAAGGCCATGTAAAGAATCCTGACCGGGTTGATTGAGACCCCCTTTTCGTCCTTATGTTATGGCGTAATGTATTAATGTGGGGGCATGCCAATCAATACGGCTATTAAAGGAAAGAAGGATATGAAAGTAGCTAAACTCGGACCCGATCTAAAGGAATCTTAATAAAGGTAATGTTTTGTTAAGCCTAATCAATGTCGGCCCGTGTCCACGTCCATGCCCGGCCCGGACCCGATGATCCACTGTGGCGCGATTTGTCCACCCCAGGTCAACACCCACGTGCGACCTTAGCGCGTTCCCTTCAAGAAGAGCCTGCTAATCCTAAATAAGTCGGATTTTTTTTACGGCAAAAGAATGTCCCAAATCCAAAAATAAAATCCTGATTTCAGCGCCCAAAAAAATAATTTTAATTACGTATTTCTTTTCTTATATCAACCCGTTATTAGAGGTGTCAAAAAAGCCTGCGCCGGCCCGGCCCGGCCCAACCCTACCCTAAAATTTCGGGTATTTTAGGGTTGGGCCTCAATGTGCTTGGAGTAGTGTTTTCAGGTATGGATTTTATCAGGTCAGGGTAGGGTCAGGACGGGCCCGTGCAGGCTTTTTTGACACCAATAGGGCCAGAACTAACGCGAATGGATTTTCTAGAGTTGGACCCGACCATTCTCTTGGTTGATATGCTAAACAGGGTCTTGGGTCGGGTTAGGTCGGGGCAGGTCAAGTGAGACCCTCTAGGTTACGGGCCGGGGCAGGTATCATCAAAGCTTGGCCCGATCCGACCCGACCCGTTGACAACCCTACCTGTTATCACCGGATTAAAAAAGCGATTTAGATCTACTTCAAACTTAAATAAATAATAAAATAATAGCAAACGAAAAAGGAAAAAATACAGGGCGCTACCTGTTTCGAATAGTGGGAAATAAAAGAAAAGTGCAGCTCAAAAAATAAAAATAAAATGTAAAAAGTTAAAAAAGGGGAGAAATTCCGGAAGAGAGTGGACTGCAAGAGCTGTCTCTCACCAGACACAGAGGAACTTCACCACTGCATTGTCGACTCTGGTCCCGGTACAATTTCCCTCACGGATGTGAGACGCACGCACTCTCTGACACGCACTCAACATTTTGTTGTGTCCCTCATTTTTCACTTGTCATTCCTGATTGGAATGTAGAAATCTAGTGAAAAGTCTGATTAGCATTTCAATTAGAAATATAACAAGGTCGCAAACCAATGAAATTTTAGCTACTGATCACCGATAAGTATGACGTCAAATAAGTAGACAGTAATCTCACTGAAACATTGTGATGGTAATTATGAGAACTAGCTAATCTTGCATTGTATCTAAGCTTTCTACTGTAGTGCCAAATGTGAACTTGTGCCAATTTTGAGCTAGCTTTTCCCTCATTCATGGTTGCTTCCCTTTGGTCCTGCTGCAGTCCAAATATTTGTATTTTTTGGGTGATTGGTTTTTTGAGATTTAAATCCGTAGCTTTTTTATTCATTTGCAATGAAACTGCAGTAGGAAATCTCATCTTGGTCGTGTCTATTGTTTAAGGAATCTATTTCTATCCTAGGTCTGTGGGGAATGCGTTGGAGAAAAAGCAAGCTTCTAATTGATGCAGAGATTGAACTATTGCAACGAAGACATATATGTCACAGCTGTACATGGAAAGGAAGTTCCAAAATCTATCTTAGAAGCATCTGAGACAGCGTTTGATCTAGGCCACCAGATATCTAAACGCTCTAGGAGGATAAATTATGGAAGTGTGGTTAATCTGAAAGTTTTTGGCTCCACATCAATATAACAGTTGAAATCTAGATATAGCGAACATTAGCATGCTACGAAGCAACGGGATTTGACCAACACGTCTTCAGGGAAGACCCAAATCACTTGAGAGAGAGGGAGACAAGTGCTCATTGCTCAGGCCCTCAAGGAACATTCTTCTTGGATAGTATTTCTTTTTGGAGGGAAAATGACAAATGATCCTTGAAGTTTGGCCCAATGTGCAATATAGCCCTTGAACTTTTAATTTGTTCAATATAGTCCATGAACTTTAATTTAATGTGCAATTTGATCTCTAAACTTTAAATTTGTTCAATGTCATCCATAAAATTTTGGTATATGTTCAATTCAGTCCATAAACTATATGAAAATATTCTTTGTAGTCCTTCCATTAAGACAAGTTTAGGTACTATATTGAATATTTTCATATAGTTCAAGGATAATATTGAACATGTACCAAAAGTCTAAGGATCGCATTGAATAAATTAAAAGTTCAGAGATCATATTGTACATTAGGCTAAAGTTCAAGAACTATATTGAACAAATTAAAAGTTTAGGGACCAAATTGCATATTGAGCTAAAGTTCAGGGACTGTTTTTGTCATTATCTCTATTTTGGATTGAAAGTTAGGGGGTTGAAAGCTATTCACATGGCAGCTAAATGGGCCTTCGGCCCTTATCCAAGTGAAAGTCATGTGCTTGGCATTTAGACTCAATTTGCAAAAAAATGGCACATTTTTTAAATAGGTATTCTAGAGTATTCCCGATAGCAATTTAGGAAATATCCACGTGTTATTAATCTCCATCGTTATATCGTACAGTAGATCTATGGCTATAATCAGAAGAGTTCTTGTATAAATAGGGTCCCTTCACCCTCATTTCCATCATCCAGAAAACATTTCGATGACCAGTTTCAACAATGAAATATCTTGATCAGACTTAGCATAACAATGAATAACGTATCCCTATCCTAAGCTAGAGTGGATTATAGCAGAGGAGCATTCTAATGACTTTCTCCTAACCATCTCCTCGGATGTGCTCTGAATCCAATTCCCCAAGTCAGTTAACAATCAATTTCATCCCACGATTTGCCACTTCGAGCTGATTCAATTTTCATAATCAATTTGTCTTTTTTGACCTACCACATCCAAGGAGCATGAATCAGAAGATTCATATGCAAAAACTCTGCAATAAATGCTCTGGCGTAGGAAAACCAGTTAGATGTACCCGTGCATCAACAACACGCTACATCAAATGCTCACAAGTGATATGACGCTCTTGCAACTCCCTTTGTAACTCCACATTGCTTGCTTCAAGCAAAGAAACTTTATGCTTGAGGATCCGTAAAAGCAATTTCAAGTCAAAACCTAAACCAGATTGTAAGGACTGTGAGAGAACTTAAATATAGTCTTCTACTTGAAGTTCTTCATATGGTCCGCTAGGATATAGTAGAAGCTCCGCTTGCAACTGCTTTACTTGGCTTCGTATCCTTTGCATTTGAGCTGCCATCGGATCACGATTGATCTCGAACCAAATAAGGAAGATAAGTATCACCAAAAAGAAAGTGCATGATGATATAAATAAAACATGTTAGGGCCATGAAGACATACCGCGGATTTGTTTTGAATGTTGCGAGCACGATTTGCATACTTAAGGGTGTTCAATGTCTCCTCAGCATTTGTTTCGGCAGGACTCACACAAGCTACATATATAAGCAGTGAAATGTCGTCAGGATGAGGATTAAAAAGGTTAGGATCAAAATCCTAGTCTAAGCCAAATTCAGTAGCATACCTATCATCAATGTTTTGCTATTTCCTCCAAGGGAATCCTACACAGCCAAATTGCAAAATCAGTTGTCGAAAAGGGTTATGACCCTAAAAAATGAACTCAATAGGAAGGGGAAGGGGAAGGGGAAAGGGCTGGTCTTCTTTGTGAAATTGCACCATGCATGTGACCTTCACGTTTATACTGACAAGTAGGAATGTTAGACAAATATCTTAAAAAATATGAACATGTATTAGGAACACATAATGACGTACATCATGAAGCTTACCATTTTGTTTTAGAGAGCAAGAGACAAACTTGAGAAAATGAAACAAACTTGCTATCACCTCTGATAAATAGCAATATCTGGCATCAAAGGAACCTATTAAAATCTTGTCCACATCAGATTCCACGAAAAATAAAGGGGAGCATATTACATGACATGATATACTTGTCTATTTTTTGTTGGTTTCAATTTTCAAACCTGGATATAAATAAAAGGGAGTATATTTGGCAATAAAAAAATAGAACCCTTTGTTCCAAAATCTGTTAATGAAATATTAGAAAGCAGTTCCATGTGAAACACAGCATGCATCTTTCACACAATATTTAAACTGGACTAAAAATCTGTTAATGAAACATGTCTCCACCTTGAGCTATTTCACTTAATTAGGTACTTGGCTAAAAAAGTTTCAGGAGGACAAAATCCAGTAAGAGAAATAGATTTTGAAGAAACAGAAGTAGCCCAGCTAGAGAACTCAAAGCCATGTTGACATCTCAGACCCAATCCAATATCAAAATGGAACCACGAGCAATACATTCAACCCGAGATAAGTTGAATCCAATTCGCCGCAAATTGAAAGCTAATCATGCTTATGAAGAAGAACCAACTCGATTAAGGGGGCGAGTTGCCCTAATATCGGTTGGAAAATGAGTCAGCTTACAGAATGACATTTGAATATTATACTAATTCTCCAAGAAGGAACGAGATCTAGTGACATTTATCAAGAAATCTCAGCTAAAAAGAAAATAAAAGAAGTAGTAGCAAACATCCCACAGAATCCGAAACCGAACAATCTCCGCCCTACCCATCTAAAAACAGCGCTTGCCCGAGACCAAAAGTGTAAAAAATTCAGAGATAAAAGAATCTCATTTCTTTGAGTCACGCGAACGTACTTCCTTTAAAACTCTTGGACGACGATCCTCCTCGTATGGGTCCTCGGGCTTGAGATTCCTCTTCTTCTCCACGATCTTCTCAGCGTCCGCCGAAGGGGTTCCTCTCTCCAAGAAAAACCGCTGTTGCACGGAATCAATCCCTGCGACGAAGACATCAGAGCGACCAATCAGAACACGAATTTCGTTCACCCAACTCGGGAATTCGAAATTCCACGCGACACAAGCGCTGAAGAATGTCGAATCAGAAGCAACATTCACACCTCGCCACCGGTCGCCGACTCGTCGAAAGCCGTCGAAGAACCTAAAGCCCTAATTTTTTGCGCTCTGTTCAAGAAGAGAGAGAGAGAGAGAGAGCCCTAATCCTAATTCTAACCCCAAATGAAGACGACACCATTTCCCTTTTACGCCTAGTCTGCTGAGCCCTAATCCTAATTCTACCCCCAAATGAAGACGACACCATTTCCCTTTTACGCCTAGTCTGCTGAGGTGTTTATCTTTGTTTGTCTCTAATTAGCGACGATCAAATGCAAAATGTGGCAAATATCGTCACTAATTAGCGATGAATACAGTTTGTCGCCAATTAGCGATGAAATTAACCACGACCTTTTATATTAACAATTCAACAAATAAAAGATTTTGCGACGAACATAATTCGTCATTAATTTTGAGACGAATTCTTTTTCATCGTTATTCCATCACAAATTAGCAACGAATTTGCTTTCATCACCAATTTTTCATGGCTAAATCCTTTTTTTTTGGTAGTGTAATTTTGCAACGAAATTAGCAAATAAGTAGCAACGACCTATTATATTAAAAATTCGGCAAATAAAAATTGTCGCTAATGTCGTTGCTAATTTTGCGACGAATTATGTTTGTCGCCAATCAACAACGAAATTAGCGACAACCTTTTATATTAACAATTCAGCAAATAAAAATTTTTGCGAAGAATTATTTTTCAGCGCTATTTCTGTTGCAAATTAGCGATGAATTTGCTTTCATCACTAATTTTCCGTGGCTAAATCGTTTTTTTGTAATGTAATTTTGCAACGAAATTAGCGACGACGCCAAGTAGCGATGAAATTAGGGACAACCTATTATATTAAAAATTTGGCAAATAAAAAATGTCGCCAATGTCGTCACTAATTTTGCACCGAATTATGTTTGTCACCAATTAGCGACGACCTTTTATATTAACAATTCAGCAAATTAAAATGTCGCAAAAGTCGTCGCTAATTTTGCGACGAATTTTGTTTGTCGCCATTCAGCGACAAAATTAGCGATGACCCACCATATAAACAATCCATCAGAAGAAAATACTGCAAATATTGTGGCTAATTTTGAGATGAATACTATTTGTCACCAATTAGCCACGAATATGTTTTCGTCGCAAAGTTAGCAACGAATTTTTTGCGATGATTACTGTTTGCGACAAATAAAGTACGTCGCTAAATTAGCGACGATTAAAGTTTGTCTCTAATTATAATTAGAGACGAAAACTTAGCAACGAACTATAAAAATTGTCGCGACGAACATGCCGCGAAAGTTATTTTGCGACGAATTTTGCGACAAATGTGATACGAAAGTTATTTTCATTGTTGTTTTTGTCGCAAATTAGCAACGAATTTTCTTTCATCGTTATTTCCGTCGCAAATTAGTGACGAATTTGCTTTCATCGCTAATTTTCCGTGGCTAAATCCTTGTTTTTTTGTAGTGCTAGCATGCAATCTATCTAAAAAAATATACCTTGATCCTATCTAATCTTGTTTGGATTTTTTTTTTGGTAACAAAGAATCAAAATCAATTCAAATCAAACATAGATAGAAAGAAATCATATCCACATCAAAAACAACATCAAATCACATGAGATATTATCAATATCCATCTAGTTTTGGAAATAGATTGACGAATCGTATCCTAGGCATGAGGATCAGATTGGCCAATTTTTGTGCAATCGTGAATCGTATCTCAGGTGGGAGATTGGAGTGACAATTTTCACCATAGCAAGTTATGAAATTAGAAAATAATTCCTAATTTAAATGCTAACTGAGGATTTCATGGATATGAATAATAGTCAAAGATTAAAACAATACTGCAATTTCACAAATTAGGCTACAAAATATAAGAAAATCAAATTAATGAAAATTCTTACCTAATTCGAAATATCACCTCGATAGCGTTTCCAATTTCGAACTCGACGGGACGGCTCAGATTGTGGTGGCCGATGGTGGTGCTTGCTGTGATGCTGGCCGTGGATCGACCAAGGAGGAACTCTCGGCTGCAACAAGGATCGAAGGTGGTAGCGGGGTTGCTCAATTTGGTAACGGTGAGGCACAAAGATTGCGAGCAAAGAGTCTCAACGATCGGTAGCACTCTTGGAAAAGGCCGTGGCTTGCTGAGAATGCTATGGGAACCTGCAAAATTCTAAACAAACCGCCTGTGAATTGCTGTGATGTCGAGCAAGGAAGGCTGCCAGTAACGAGTGAGGAGCGTAGCGGGTCTGCTACTAGGATGTGGCTCGACAACGTTGGTGTCGGGCCTGAGGCGTGAGGTGCTTGACGTCAATGCTGCGAGCTGGGCTTGACCGAGGGTACTCCAAGAGCGACACCGACAGGACGCTGATATGATCCGATAAGCGCGTCGACAATCACTGGTTGATTGCTGGCTCGGTGCTAGAAATTTTGAATTTGCTGCAAGGACTAAGGCAAGTGGCTGTTTCTGCAGGAAAATTAGGGAGTCAAAATAGAATTGCTACTCGTCCAGGTAAGGACCATGCAAGTGTTGGACAGCAACAAGAGTTGCTGAACGTTGCCAAGCTCTCAGGAATTGATGGCGCCGGCGCTTCTCTCACTTTCTACTTCCTTTGTGGAGTGTCTTTCAATATGTGTGCTCTCCCTCTAATTGTGAACCCTAACACGTCTATTTATAAGAGTTAGCCAGGGTTATCTTGCAAGAACCAAGATATATTATTTCCTAATTCTAATACTCAACTTAGGCAATTTTATGATTATTTCCTCTAGCTGAATATTCATAGAATAATATGAATTATCTTCCAAGTATATTACTTAATAATTCGATAATCCAATTATTCCAACTTGTTCTATAATGCAAATTTCGGCCATATATGTATTCAATGGGCTTGGACAAACATTTAATCTTTTGGGCTCAGTCCATTTAATTCATTTAAGCTCAAAACCATTCACTTAAATCCATTCGTCACCGGTCCAATGCAAATGCAACTATATGAGCCTATGCAAATGCTTCTAATATCTATATGCATTTTAATTAATATTTTTTTTTTCTAGAGATCAGGATTGATCCCCAGCTTTTTATGCGAAAAATAATTAACTAAGTTACCAGAATTTAGGTGTCAACATAATTATTCGGAGAAATATTACCTGCCAACCTTAGCCACCGAAACTAATGTCTTTTAGGGCTTTTCTAAAGCCTGCCAAACGCAGGAGGGATGAGCCTCGTCAACTCTTGAGAAACCCTCCATGTATTTCTCATCTTTTGTACCTCGCCCCAACTAGGTCTTCCTCCTTTTTCTCTTCCCTTCAACATTCCCTTATGTTCTGCATAACATTGAGGAATAGATCACAACTGATCACGGGTGAACCGCCAATATAAATACTACAACATTCTTAATCAAATTCGTCACAAACCCTTTGATTAGTCATGCAGTTCAAGCTTTTAGATTGACGATATACTTTAATTAACAAGAAAAAATTTATCCAATATGGAAATTACATGAGTAAAGCGAACTTAGATGAACTATAGAATAGTGGGGATATAGCAATGAAATTTGGGCTGCTTGTTATTTATCTTTCAGGACTCTCTTGTAGATCTCAGGGTCTCTCACAAGCTTCCATATCATCAAGCTTAAAAGAACTGCCAACGTATCGTGACTCACGATCATCAACATGATAAATTGTCCATAATTACGTGAATATCTATACAATTCATTGTCCATGAATGCGTAGATTTGAGAATTATCATAGCTAATGTTTTGGGGTTAGGCTGTAGAATGTGCATCGATAGCTGTCATAATTTCCAAAGGTTGAAAATCGGCAAGATGCTTACAATTTCGGGAGCAAACCCTCCTAAATTTTCGTCAAAGTCGATAATTATCTTCCAAAAATTACCAAATAGATCTTAAACATAAGCATGAACTCAAGCGCATTATCTTTTGAATTGCAAAGATATAGTCACGATGATAACTTAACTGCTTAGATGGAGTGAGTTCAAAAGATTATTCTTACTACCGATGGTTCGGATCAGTGCGGGGCAGTTTGGACGCAAGGACATCATCATTCATAGTCAGTATGAACTTTTTACCGGCCTGGCCAATCTGTCAGCGAACCCTTTAAAGAGGTCTTGAATACAAAACTGTGCTAAATGATCTCTCGCCAAAGTTTAGTGTCTGAACCATGTGCTCGTAATGATTTTGATTGTGTCTGTACCTAATACTGAACCTTACAGATGGATAGGGATCTTGATCAACCCAATGCAAAGCTATATTTCCTTTCTCATTTGTTTCGTGTTTTCCTTGTATCCCCTATCCCGTTGCCATAGTTACTTCAGACGCAATAATGTGTTTACTGCGTTGATTGTTGTCGATTCTCTCTTCTTTTCATCCCTTTCACAACAGTTTGTTTGATAGTTGATTTCGGTTTTCTAGAATCATGTGACGAAGAAGATGTCGGGACTATGAATTTTCGATTCTAGCAAGATCTCGCCTAATTCAAACGCAATGTATTTAGGCAAACCATACAACGCGACAGATGTGGATTTCCGATGGCCAGTCAATATAAACAAGAAGCTCTGGAAGCATTCACATAAGATTGATTTTGTAATTCAGCTGAAAATGATCGCCTTCTTTTTGAATTTTTTGGTTATGTGACCGACTTGCATAGTCAACAATGGGTTGGGCTGACATTTATGTCTGGATAGGCCCAAGCCCGGATCCAAAATACAGACCACCAGGTTAAACCTCGCACCAACTGCATCAATGCTCATCAATGGCAATAATTACTCTTCAATCCCGCACGTCTCTCGCTCTCTCCATGCGAGAAGCTCCAAGTTCGGTTCCTTGTCGTTGCTGCTTCCAACCACTAGCTCTTCCAATCGATTACGCGTCTGAGCTGTCGCAGGAGCTGAGGTCGGCGGCTCTACAGCACTAAGAAGCCGTTAGAAATGTATTAGGCAACACGTGAATGAACTTATCTAAGGCTTTCATCAAATATCTTAGCAATGCAACCTACAAGAACTGTTAGAAATGTATTAGGCAATAGGGCACTAAGAAGCTGAAACCAATAACTTGTCGAGGACAGTTATAATGACACGAATTAGGGGAAAGAGA